AAAAGAGCCAACGAAAAGTAGGTATAGCAATGTTATGTAATATCAGATAACACAAACTTAAAAGCAAAAATAATTAAATGAGTTGATTATTTTATTCCCAAAGGTACAATTCATCAAAAAGACAGGAATTACAAACTTTAAGTGCTTAAAAACATAGCTTAAAAGTGCTGGGCACGGTTGCACATGCCTGTAATTTCAGCACTTGCGAAGCTGAGGCAGAAGGATAACTGCAAGTTTGAGGTCAGCCTGGGCTACATAATGAGTTCAAGACCAGTATGAACTGCATAGTGAGACCCTGTCTCAAAAAAATAAAACAAAACAAAAACAAACAAACAAACAAAAAAACCCAAACCCACATAGCTTGACAACATTAGAAATATATCCATGTTGTGTCTGTATATAGAGAGAGATGTACTCACATAAATCATAGTGGAATCTTTAACATAACTCTCAGAATCAATAGATCAAATACTGGAAACCCAAAATAGGAAAACAAAGAACCTAAATGATTATCATGAACTTAAGGCAAATACATAATTTTGTACCCAACATATGAAAGCTACTAGGAACAGTCACAAAAATTGACGATTCTATAGACTACAAATTGGCATCTGTTTCTTAAACTTTTTCTTTCAGCAATGCGGCAACACAGAGCTGTCAAAAGCTTCCAGTTACAAATCATCTTTTTAAAATGCTAGAAAAATATGTAAAAATGACTTTGAAATCAGTGGAAAAGAGAAACATGAGGAAGCCAAATCTGTGGCATATCTTAGAAAAATGCAGAACAAAAGGCATTTCCAGGTTTTATAAAAACAGAGTTTATCATCACTGAAGGAACTTGGAAAAGCAAAATGGTCCAAAGAAGATTATCTGTGATATAAGAAGAAATGGAAAGTGAAGAAAATGGTAAATAGGTAGATAAATCTGATAAATATTGACCTAGAAAATAATCACAATTGCAATGTCTAATTCAAAAGTTAAAGAAAAAAAACAGTTAAAGTGGGGTTGGAGATGTAGCTCAGTGGTGCTGCACCTTCCTGGCAAGCACAATGTCCTGAGTTCAATCCCCAGTACTGGGTGGGGGTGGGGGTGGAATACACTTAAAGTTAAATACAATTTATCTCAGTGGTGCCGTGCCTGCCTCACAAGCTCAAGGACCTGAGTTCAATTCCCAGTACTGGGGGGAAAAAATGTGAGGTGAACAAAATGAATTAGAAGTCCTTGCCTTGTTTAGGAGGAGGATCAATTGGTTAAATAAATGATTCAAATTTTAAATTCAGAAGGCTACAGTTTGAACAAAATAAATTTAAATTAAGTAGAAAGATAAATATTAAGAACAGAAATTACTGATGTAGAAGAATAAAAATCAGCAGCATTAACCAATAAATCCCAAAGCTGGTTCTTTGAAAAGATTAATAAAATAAGCAATCACTAAGCAAGTCTGATCAATAAAAAAAGAGAAAAGGCATAAAAAGTCATTAGTGTTAAAAAAGATAACATCACAGATACATGAGTTTATTTTCTTCCATCAAACTATATAAAACTGTGGTATTATATGTTAAAATTCAATAATATTAAACTTCAATGATATTAATGATTTTCTGGCCCAATTAAAAGTATCAAATTGACTTTGAGGAAATAGAAAATCTGAAAAACATCAATGGTC